TTACCTAGGGGTTATCATTAAAAAGATTCCCAAACCCCATTTCAGATCTACTAATGGAATCTCAAGGGATAAGCCAAGAAGACTGAATTTTATAAGCACCCTGGGTAATTTCTGTGCTCAGGCAAAGTTCAGGAAATACCGTACGTAGCACTTACAGGGAAGGACAATTAGGATCCACCGACTGATCCTAATCAATTCCTTACTTAGTGTTCTTTAGCTCATCACTAATAACATAATGGTGGTTAGCATTCCTGAGGGTCTACTGTATGCTGTATCTGTACTAAGCATAGTGTATATGTTATTTCACTTGATGTTACAATATCCTTTTGAGGTAGATACTACTTGTTATGGTTTATATCTGGATGTCTCCTCAGAGGCTCATACGTTCACAGGTGGAGATCTTGGGAAGTGATTGGATCATGGGAGCATGACACTTATCAGTGAATTAATCCACTACTGAGTTTATGGGCTAAACGTGATGCTGCAAGGTGAAGCCTGGTCAGAGGAGGTCACTGGGAGCATGACCCGGAAGGAATTATCTCTTCCCATCACCCTCTATTCCTGCTGCCATGCCATGAAGGAACTTCTCTGCCATGCCACCCTGCCTTCTGGGAGCCAGCTGACTATGGATTGAAACCTCTACAAACTGTGAGTCAAAATAAACATTTTCTCCTTTAAATTGTGGTGTCAGGTATTGTGTCTCAACAAGAAAGTAGGTAAGACCCTACTTTTATTCCAGGTTTGCAGACAGGGAAAACTGACACTTTACATAATTTACCTTAAGGTCACATAATTTCTAAGTGGCTGCTGATTCAAAACCCACAACCTATACTGTACAATTCTGGCATCAAGTAAGAGAAAGTAAATAGAAATCTTAGGTCTTTCACTGACCAGGGGATTTCCTGATTTCATTTTAGTTTTTAAAATCTGCTCGTTGCTCAACTTTTTTGCATAGTTTACAACTAAAACAAATAGTAACAACTATTTTGGATGTAAAAACACTATTCAATTCCTTTGAAAAGAGAAGCAAGCTACTGTATCTCAAATTATTATTTATATGACTTTAAATACAGTGGGTTTATCTAGGCTGAGATGCTAATACTGATTAAAGTAAACATCTGGATAGTTCATTCAGTGACTTAAGCTTCTATTTAGTTCTGAGGGGGACAGAACTACACCAGATTAACCATTCGAACACTTACTTTACACACAAATTTTAAGAGGCTAAGTCCTGAAACTATAAACTTGCAATCCAAATAAGTTATATTAACATTTTGTTATGACACTGTAAGTATATTCAGCTTCACAAGATACATTCCCACTGAGTAATAATATTCAGTTTAATTTATTATTCACATTCTTACATTGTCAGATTTAAAGGAAAAATTACTTTGAAAGAGTGAATAAATGGCTTCATCAGAAAATATCAAATGGCACGAGAAGATGAACTGTGGTGACTATTTCCTATGTCCTAAACAAAAATGTACACACTTTTATGGCCCAGTATGCACATGTGCAGTATACGCTAGAGATAAGGCCTACAGAAAGTATTACACATATATGCCAAGAAAGTATTATATACATATACCAAGAGATCCAACAAATGTTAATGACAGCATCATTTAAAATACCACCCTAGGGCTGGGGATTTACCTCAGTGGTGCTGCCGTCTGCCTCCCAAATACAGTTCTGAGTTTGGTCCCTGGTCCCAAAAATAAAATAAAATAAAATACCACTCTAAATGTCCAATAAAACAGTAAGTGAACTGTTTGTACAGTTGTATTTGTACAGTGGAATACTAAGTAGCAATGGGGGAAAAAAATTAATGAAGTAGACTCACATCTAACAAGCATAGTGCCAGGTGTGGTGATGCACACCTGTAATCCCAGAACTCAGCAGGGTGAGGCAAGAGGATTGCTCCAAGTTCAAGGCCAGCCCAGGGTACATAGTGAGTTTAAGGCCAGCCTGAACTACACAGCGAGACCCTGTCTCAAAAACACAAAAAACAAACAAAAAACATAAAGCTCATAAAATGTTGAACTAAAAAAGGCCCAGCACCAACCCTGCCCCTCAAAAAAATAAGTTGCAAATGATTACCTGAAATACAGTAACAATTAGTTGTTAATTAATCTCAGGGTCTCTTGCACAGTGGGCAAGTGCTCTATCCAATTAGATTTAAAATGTGCTTGCTACAGACACATAACAAATGGAAGTAAAACTATACAAATACACAGGAATATCAAACTAATACCAAGTTTAGGACAACTCTGGGGTGAGAAGGGATAAAAGATGGGACAGACAGCTGAAGCTACAGGTGCATCCCTCCTTATATACTTTGTCACATTGTATTCTTAAGAGAAAGCGTGATGTTTTAGATAAGCAAGCTAACTATCAGTGAGCCTTCCTTCCACATCTATAGATTCAACCAACTTCTAATGGAAAATATTAAGGAAAAAGCTGTGCCTGTATTAAACATGTACACATTTATCTGTCATTGTTCTCTACAATATAGTATAACTATTTATAAAACATTTATAATGTACTAGATAACACAGGTAATCTAGAGATCATTTAAAGTATACAGAGGATACACATAGGTTATGTGCAAAGTTTTGGAACCAATGCCCCATGGATACTAAGGACAACTGTAATTGAAGCTGAAAATACAAGTGCTTTCCTGGTCCTGGTAACTTTAATGATGTCCTAAGACCTCAAACTCTGCAGTATTTGATTGAATCAAATGAAATTACTGGGTTTTAATAAATCAAAAAGTCTAATATTAATGATTTCATATGGCTCAACTTACTGTTAACAATTCTCTACATGAAGAGCAAAAATGTGATTCTTTTTTTTTTCTGCAAGAAGTTATTATAACAGTCCATATTTAATGGCATCACTAAAGAACAGGGAAAGTGATGGGGATTTAGCTCAGTGGCTCTGGCGCCTGCCTCGCAAGCGCAAGGTCCAGAGTTCGATCCCCCATACCAAAAAAAAAAAGAACACCGAAAAACTGAAATGCAATGGATCATTTAATATCAGTGGTGAAAAAAGATAAGCCATCTAGTATACAGAACAGATTTCATAGCTTAGGAACATGTATTGTATAAAGTGTGGTCAAACCACTATCCTTTAATATAAAGTATTAGTTCTTTTCAAAGTACTTATATACAGTATTAATAAATCCTTAATTGACTCCTCTTGGGCAAACAAGTATTTATTTATATAAAAACTAAAGTCCAGAGAAGAAATGACTGGTCCAAGATCAAAAAGGCCAGATGGCAATAAAAAAACATTTTTTTAAAGCCAAAACAAAACTCAGGTCCTATTTCAAAATTAGCCACAGGGGCTGAGGATTTAGCTCAGTGGTTTCACTGCATACTGCGCAAGCACAAGAACCCGAATTCTATCCCTCCCCCTCAAAAAAATTAGCCACAATAAATGAATGCGAAGTTCAACAAATAAGTGATTTTCCTTCAGTTCAATTCAAAGATTATGAGAGAGAATTTGGGATAACAATCAGTGGTGTTCTGTTTCAATACAGAAATTTCTTTTTTTTGGTACCAGGGATCGAACTCGGGTCTTTGCGCTTGCATAGCAGGCGGTGAAACCACTGAGCTAAATCCCCGGCCCTCAATACAGAAATTCCTAAACTATAACTTTTTTTTTTTGGTACTAGGGATCGAACTCAGGACCTTGCGCTTGGCAAGCAGGCACAGTGCCACTGAGCTAAATCCCCAGACCCGAAAATGAGTTTTATGTTTTAAAAAAGTTATAGTTTAGGGTCGAGGATTTAGCTCAGTGGTGCCGCTGCCTGCCTCGTAAGCACAAGGTCCTGAGTTCAATCCCCGATACCAGAAAATACATTTTAGCCCAAGAACAGTGATGCACGCTTGTAATCCCAACTACCTGGAAGGCTGAGGCAGAGAGATCACAAATGCCAAGGCGAAACTGGGAAATTTAGACTCTAAAAAATTTTTTTTAAAGATCTGGGGCATGCCAGGCATGGTGGTACACACCTATAATCCCAGCACTTGGGAGGCTGAGGCAGGAGGATCACCATGAGACAGCCTGAACTAAACAGCGAGATCCTGTCTCAAAAAACCAAGAAGATAAAAATAAAAGCTCTGGGTGCTGTAGGTCAGTGGCAGTGTACCCCTAGGTTCAATCCCCAGTACTGAAGGGAAAAAAGTTTAAGATAGTAATTAAAATACTACATTAGAGGATAAAAGCAATGCAAATAATCCTTCAAAAACACTCAAGAAAATATATACTCTAAAAGCAGTCTGTTTTCTCATTCCCTTCCCCTTTTATCTTAAACTTAAATACTAGTACTTTTTTTTTTAAGTTTCAATTAGAATGTTTCAGAAAAATACTGAAGAAATCTTGAAGGCACTGTGAGAGGTTTTCCAAAGGTAACTACAGGCTTGTTTTAGAGAATTAAATCACTCTTAAGAATAATCACAGTACAAAGAAAAATAGAGCAAGACAGAAGAGAGATTTTTTTCTGGAGATAACAGAGGCAGAAAGTGCAGGAAAAGACCAAGGGGATGCTAGAGACTCACCCTCATGAGCAGAGAAGAAGCAGTAGCAGTGCTGTAAAGAAACAGCACCTTGAGGAGTTTCAAGTTCCCTATCAAGCTGTGAGGCTGCTATCCAGAGTTAAGTGAGGGAAAGTGGCCAAAGAATATGAGACTATCTGGACTGTTTATGCACACATTGGCCATTTTTAATCTAAGAAATATGCCTGCTGAAATCTGATGCCTACAATTAATGTCATTATTATTAGTAATATTATCATCACTTCTTTCTGATTAGGAAAGATGAATGACATGCTACCCACATCTTCTCATTTATACACGGCAGCATGGATATCACATTCATTCAATACCAGGTAGCTCTGGTATGGCTTGCTCTCCTCAGCAGGGTCCACTCCCAGGAGAAACATCTGCCAGGACACATGCACATTACACCATTAGAGAAGGGGTGGGGGGGAGACCAACCTGCCTCTGCATTCAGCTCCTCTAGAAGCCCGCTGGTCCTCCAGGTAGCTCCTGTGTCCTGTCCGCCTACAGAATTAGTGTGCTCTTGAACTAGTGCAGCCGCCAATAAATTGTCCACATTTACCACTTCTGGGTCAGAGCTGGTGTCAGATATATCATAATGAGCTACAACTGGAGGTCCATCTAGGGAGGAAAGAAAATGTATACTTGTATCTAACTTGTGGGGTAAAAAATAATTCTGAAACTAAGAGCCCTCTAAATGCCAGTAGCCTTTACCTTATTATTCTATCTGATTAGAAAAGCTGTACTTTACACATCTAGTATTTTGGACATGATGTGAAAGTGAAAAGGATAACCTGAGCTTACAAAGATGAGGGACACATTTTTGAAAGGAAGAAAAAAGAGTTATGAAGAACAGAAGACGACAAGACTATACCGAACAATGTTACACTGAATTCCCCTCATACTCCTATGAAGAGCAACAGATTAGGAAAAATGGGATGACTCTACAAAGAAAGTGAAACTGACTTTTTAAAGGAAAAAACTGACATAAACTGTTAAAACGCAATTTATTATTTTTAAGAGAATAAATCTAGTTTTCTCTTAGTACCTAATACTAAAAGTTCCTAGTAGAGTCAGAGAAGAAAATCAAATATACATTTTCCTACTAACTAAAGAAATAAAAGTTAACACTAGAGCTATATTTAACTAACTTATTTATTTCCAATGAAGCCTTCTTATAATAACAGGGAGGTTATACACATTACAACATTCGACAAAAAGACAATATCCCCAAGCCCCATTTTAAGGATTATGCTTTGCATGTCTTGTGAGGAATATTTATATTTTCTTTTCCCTGAGAATGACAACCAGTTCACACTCCAAATAAATTATATATAATCTTATGCATGATTTTAGAGGAAGATATTAAAGTTTTTACTGGACTAGTAAGAGATATTTCCCATGCCCAAGTAACCCTAACTGAAAAAGGCAGATCTGAATTCTAAAGTAATTACATTATAGCAATTCATGCTTAAAAGAAGTCAATATTCATGCTTGTAGAAGAGATACATGCTTTAAAATGCTAATGCTACTCTTTTTCTAACAAGACAGCAAAAGCAAAAATAAAGTTTCATTCAAGAAACCCTCTACCACCCCCATTTTAGAGAAAGCTAAAACAGGGGCTAGGGGCATAGCTCAATGATGTAATGCTTGCCTAGAATAAAGCTAAAATAAAGGAATACTGTTTCCCTCCCCATAGCTCCTTATGAAGTGTAAGCAAACCATTTATTTCCAAATAGACTTTAAATAATCATCCAACAAATGATTAAATATACCTATTTTATAAAACTCTTGACCAGGAAGAAATACATATGCCAATGAATCATAAAAATATAACAATTTAATACATGTTTCCATTGTGTAAACTGCTACTGGACAAAAATATGGAACACACCTGGGTATTTATCTCTGAAAACTAAGCTCCTAAACCACAGGTTTATATTATATTTTAAAAATAAAAATGACCAAACATAAAAGCAAATGAATTGTTAGGTGCCACAGTATAAAGAACAGACATGTCACAATATGAAATTCTGACGATTATGACAATTTTAGTTAACTATTATTTCCAGTTCTCCTAATAGGGTAAATCAAGTTCATTAAAGACCATAAAATTTAACAATGTGGCCTTGGTTTTGGCTGGTAATGAATTTTTGTCCAAATAGGAAAAAAATTTTGCTCATGTTTAGTTTTTCTTTTCTAAAAGAGAAAAGAAAGCTGCATCATTCTATGGAGTCTTCGTCAGAGTTCAAAATGATTATTATGGAATCAAGATACTGTATGATATCCAAATACTTAGGAGCAGAATATATGAGGGCCAAGTACAATATTGACTATTTGACCATATGTTCTAGTTTTAAAAGGGCTTTGTGGTTTTGTCCAAGTGTTTGCAATAAATTAGTGATTTAAAATTTATATCATTAACACCATTTAGAAACAGTTACCTCACATTCCCCACTTCTACTCCCAAATTGAAGCAAAAGGTCAACAGTCAAGTCAAAATTGTACCACTCCTACATGTATAATCATGCAAAAAAGTATAAGTGTATATATACATGCAGAGTGATATCACCTACCCATGGAAATAACTTCTCTGAAAGTCTTCATCAGTAGAAAATACAAGCATAAACTTGTTATTTGGCTTCATTCTTGTATCTTCCATATTTCCAAACAGCATACCTTTTAACTTAGCTTAAATTTAGTATTTATCATAAACAAAGCAAAATTTTCATATTTTAATTATACTTAACAGTTAAATTATGACTGTCAGTTTTCATTTTCAATATATTCAAACAATGACAAGTTGGTAGTATATAAACTTCAATAAAAGGGAATGGTGGCCTTTCCAACTCTGTCTTTTAGTGAGAAATCACAATTAAAGCTTCTGCTCTAAGGTCATCTTAAACCTTTTATTAGCAAACCAAGACTGAACAGAGTATGATGTCTAAAGCATGTGTCATCACCACTTGTACTCTAAACCAGTACACAAATATTAGCTAACTAATGGTAAAAATCTGTGATACTGTTTTAAAATGAGATTCTTTCTAAACAGAATTATGAGACAGGTACAGTTTTGTACTTTTTAAAAGAAATATCTCTTGAAGGGGAAAAATAAGTCAGATGACTGAGGAGCTAGGAAACTGCAGCACATTTAACATGAGGAGCTATTATTTAACTCTGTCAATTTATTACAGGATTGAACAAACTCATGACTACTACTGTTGCTCTCACTCAGTGACTCCTCTGTTCTGTTAAAACAACTGCATTGCTATTAAGATTGTTTTTACTTTGAACAACATCAAAATAGTCACTTCAAGTAAAGTTATTCATGGAAACTTTTCCAGTCTCAGATTTATCCATTAACATAACCACATTCCATGCTTACAACACTTGTTAGCTAAATTGCACATTTGCCCATCTACTAAATCTGATGTCTGTCACAGTCCTAAAACATAAATTTTTAATAATGAACTCTGTAGTTTTTCTATAACCATTAAGGCATCATTTAGTAAATTTAACATTAGTTACAGTTATTTAATTTGTAGTTAATCCAAGCACTGTTTCTCCTTCTGATTGAAATCTTGCATTTTTCTACTTGTCGAAATCAAGCAATCTACCAACTTTTCAAGAACATTAAATCACACGTTTTTATGCTAAGTATGTTTGTACCCTTACTAATCTTCTAGTCTAATAAGTTCAAACTTTTCAAATACCAAAATACGAATGTCTCTGTATTGTTAAACATTCCTGATACACTGTGGTTTACGTTTTTATGACCTTAAACTTATTCCATTACTGCCATCAAATGTTTAATGCATTAGTTTCCTTGTCAAGTATGTTCTAATGAAAAAATCTGAATCACAAAAATAAACCAAAACAAAATCTAATTTTTCCTTTACTACGTTTATCCATGACAAATTTCTTTTCAAAATTGGTAACCAGAAACACAGCATTTAAAAACCATATAGTGGGCCAGGGATTTGGCTCAGTGGCACCGTACCTGCCTCGCAAGCGCAAGGTCCTGAGTTAAATCTCTGGTACCAAAAAAAAAAAAAAATAAAATAAAATAAAATAAAAACCATATAGAGTAATTACACAATTTACCACTCCATTGTTCAGATGAGAAATCTGAGTTCTAATTAGGTGGAATCAGAATAGACTACAGTTGTTTTCACTGTTGAAGGAAAGAGAAATATACAGAATGAGACTGGCAGTAACACAGGAAATACAGATTTTTGGCAGCAGACACACAGTTTAAACCCATGCCTATTCTCTCTTAGCTATATGACTTTGATAAATTATGCTACTCCTCAGTTTCTTAATAGGTTATGGTGAGGGTTCAAAGAATACTCCAAATACTGGTCCACTGCCCTACCTTTCTACTCATTATAAGTAGCACTGGCCTACTCACTCTTGGCTTCCTTTTGCATGTACAGTCTGCTGTACACAGCCTGCATGGGAGAGGTTGAGGAAAACAACCACTGCGCTTAGGTTGGTCCCTTTATGTTGGCCCTAAATAAACCCAACTTGTTAAGTAAATGCTTTGCTAGGATTAAGTTAAATGAAGTCATCACAAATACGACTTTTATATTTTTGTTTGAAGTGAGATGTTAGCTTGCATGTATTCATATAAAAACGTCTAAAAACCTAACAGGTCATTCTGGCTTAGGCCGTACTTGGCATCATCTTTGTCCGCAGAGCACTGCCAATAAACACAGCATTTTTAGTCTATCATTAAAAAGTCTAAGTCTAGAACAGGGATTTCTCTGTACCCCACAGATACACAGAAACACCAGTCCTTCTCCTCTCTACTGTTACATCGTAGGTCCAAGGAAAGATAGAACGCTTCAAAGCCCAGAGAAAATTCCTTCCTTCATCCTCCCTGATCACTCCAATTCCCTGTTGTTGCTAAAGGACGCCATACAGACACCTTCTTCCCAGGCATCCAAGGGCTCAGAGGGAGGGGACAGACATCACACTGAGCTTCAATCCAGGTAAGCCTCAAAAAATGAGAAAGTACCTAGCCAAAGGACCTCACAAGGCAAAATGTGTATGTGTACATGTGTGAATGATTTCAATTGAGGGAATGGGGAGTGAACATGAGGAACACAGAGAGAGGCAAATCTCAAAAGACAAAATAATTTGCAGAGAAACTATTTTAAGAAATATACCAGTTTCACTGCATACTAGAATATTTACTAAATATTACTAAAATGAAAACTTTCATTGTAAATAATATTTAAGAGAATATACTATATTTTCATTACCAACAATCAAAAATTGAAAGTATATGCACAATTTGAGTAAACAGGAAACACTGTTAGAGCATCTCTGCTCTAGAAAAGAATAGCAATAGAAGACAAAGTGGGCATGGTGATACACACCTGTAATCTCAGCACTCAAGAGGCTGAGGCAGGAGGATTGCCAAGAGCTCAAGGCCAGCCTGGGATACACAGTGAGTTCAACACCAGTCTGAGCTATATAGTGAGACTGTCTCAAAAAACAAACACACAAAGTACCACAGAAGACAAAACTCTACATAGAAAAGTGGCATCTCCAAAAACCCTTAAATACCAAAAACTGCATATTTTCTTCAGAATAACATCATAAAGCTATCATAG